AGTAGTAGTAGTAGTAGTAGTAGTAGTAGTAGTAGTAGTAGTAGTGTAGTACTAGTAGTAGTAGTGTAGTACTAGTAGTAGTAGTAGTAGTAGTAGTAGTAGTAGTAGTAGTGGCAGTAGTAGTGGCAGTAGCAGTAGCAGTAGCAGTAGCAGTAGCAGTAGCAGTAGCAGTAGCAGTAGCAGTAGCAGTAGCAGTAGCAGTAGCAGTAGCAGTAGCCGTAACAGTAGCAGTATCAGTAGCAGCAGCAGTAGCGGTAGCAGTAGCAGTAGCAGTAGCAGTCGCAGTGGCAGTAGTAGTAGCAGAAGTCGTCGTCGTCGTAGTAGTAGTAGTAGTAGCAGCAATAGTAGCCTTATTTGTAGTAGTAGTATTGCACTGGCAGTACTAGTCGTAGTAGTCGTAGTGGTAGCAGCCACAGCAAGCAGCAGCCGAATTAGTTAGTAGTAGCAATAGCAGCAGTGGCACTCAGCAGCCGCAGCACCGAGAATGCCTCAAGGTCTTACAACGATCCCGCTCTGAGGGCCAAGGCCACGGAGGTTGTCAAGTGCTCAGCATTCAGATAATGATAAAACCCTTATATAGTTGTATGACCCTTATATAGTACAATTCTATAGTACCCCTTATATAATGCCCTTGTATATTAGATTTGTTTCGTTCCTGGTGTTCTCATCGCGAGTTTCGGGTGGAAGGCTGTGGTCGTTCAAGAGTTCCCTGTAGCTCATGCTAAGTCAGGTTCGCTCGTGCATGTTCATTCTGGGCCAAGGATTCATTAGATGTGTCCAGTCTGTTTCATTTTTATGCAAAATGGTTCAGTATGGTTTCCCAGCAAGTGATTGAAGGCAGCTTGCTCGATGCTATTCCAGCATGCTTGCTCATGCTATTGAGATTTTTCGAACATGTTTGTCGGTCATCGAGCAAGGCACCCCTGCGAATGACTGAGTGGGACTAGAGTGTTTCACCTGTCTCGATCTGCCTAGGACGAGATTTGCTGACGTTTCCTCGCGTGCTTGTCTGGTGGTGAATTTAAATTTGAAGTGTCGTGCTTGCCTTTACTCTCAATCGTACATTCATCTGCGTTGCAACATTCAGCTGAAGCCTGCACTCCTGCAGCCTTTGCGTGTCGAGTGCAAACGAACCGAACCGAATGGCAGCTCTCTTGCTCAGTACTGCAACTAGCATCCCTTACCCCTCGAGCCTGTATCCAGCCCTTCATGTTACATAAGTCTGCTGCAACAAGAGAGCTGCCAATCTAGATCTGCTTCGCCATGAGTGCTGCAGCGTGGCTGGCCGTGGCTGCAACCGTTGCACATTGCTGATGCATTTGATCACTTTTATGCTTCGGACTACGGACAGATTTCCTTCAAAAGACTCCATACTATGCAAGTGTGCAAGTGGTCTCGCTTGAGGCATGTGCGCAATGTGCGCAAGATGCGGCCTTCTGTTTGGAGGAGTCAGCAGATGGAGCCACCCATTGGCGACGGGTCGCTGCTGCATGTGTTCGAGCTGTTGTCTAGCATGCTGCAACCGAATAAGCAGGCAGCAGAGAGCTTCAGTGTGTTGGGGTGCCAGGAAAAGGAAATGTCCTGCACCAGCGATGCGGACATGGTTTGGCTCCTGCCGCTTGGTGGCCAGTGTGAGCAGACGTGCAAACACTTCAAATTCAGTGCCGCATGGGTCGAATATGGCGTAGTGTGGAGGCAAACAGGATTCGATGTGGGCGACGAGGCAGCGCCCAATCAGAACTGATCCGGTCGGCAATATCATGTTTGCCCTTATTGAGATACTGGTGCCCCAAGCACATTCGTTCTTGACATGTTCAGGCTTCCGACGAATCTCCGGTACATGCATGTATTCAAGTGTCACTAGAGAAGCCAAGGAGTCACTATTGTGTTTGTGATGTCCTTGATGTCCGTAGAGGAAGAAGAAAAGACTCAAGCAAGGAAGACTTCACAGAGTGTGTTATTTGCAGACTTGGAGCATTTTGTGTTTGCGGCGTCCCATAGACGTTCCTGCAGGCGAGAGTTTTGCAGTTCCTGTTAAGCATTCTGTCACAGGAACG